TTTTAAGGTTCCAGCACACATAATTATCGTAAAAACAGCGACAAACCATCATCTCCAAGCTGGGCATGTGGGTGTTGGCACTATAAGAGGTTTTGCCCATATAAAGAACATCGTTGTAGCAAATGTCATCTGAAGGGGCATAAAGAAAACCTCTGCAGGAGAAGAAACTATAAACAACATTCCTTGAAACCTTACTCAAAGAAATACAGATATAGTGCTCCAACCAACAAAATATTGGTATCACATAACAAAGCACGAAGTGGCCGCCAAAGAAAGTACGTAACCTTAAATATTAATAAACGCCGTACTCGCCTTCAGCTTGATACAGCTTCTGATATTACTCTAATCAGCCCAGAAACATGGAAGAACATTGGAAGACCCACAGTTTTCCCAGCAACACAACTGGCACACAGTGCATCTGGGGGGAAGTTAAATATTGTTGGAGAAGTACCATGCACTGTTTCTAAAGGTACTGTAACAAAAAATGCAACAGTATATCTTACAAAGAAGCCAGCACTCGACTTGATGGGGTTGGATCTTATAGAAACACTCAAACTAGCAGACTATTCTATTAACAGTATCTGCAGACGAGTCAGTACTGACAACACCTCAGAGTGGAGCCAGAAAAATGTCATGCTACAAAGACACCAAAACGTGTTTAAAGAAGGATTGGGGAATGTACGAAGGCCAAAGCAGTGTTAACCCTAAAACCTGCAGCTACTCTCGTTTTTCGACATAGGAGACCCGTACCATATGCTGCTCTCCCAGTGGTTGAACAAGAGTTAGAACGACTTCAGAAACTAGATGTCATTGAACCAGTGAATTTCTCAGAATGGGCCGCACCGATAGTAGTAGTAAAGAAGACTAATGGTAGCGTTCGTCTATGTGCCGATTACTCAACCGGGTTGAATGAAGCCTTAGAAACCCACCAGTATCCATTACCCTTACCTGAAGATCTTTTTGCTAAACTGAACGGAGGTACGCTTTTTGCAAAGTTGGATTTATCAGAAGCTTATTTACAAATCCCTGTTGCTGACGAGTCTAAAAACCTGCTTACCATAAACACACACAAGGGTCTATTCCGGTATAGTCGACTACCCTTCTGAGTCAAGACGGCCCCATCCATATTTCAGCAAATAATGGATACTATGCTAAAAGATGTTTCAGGTGCTGCAGCTTATCTAGATGATATAATAATTGTGGGAGTAGATAGAATAGACTTAGAAAAGAAGCTCGACCAGGTGCTGACGCGAATAGTCGAATATAGACTTCGACTTCGTCCAGAGAAATGTGGCTTCTGTATGCAAAAAGTACGCTACCTTGGGTTTATAATCGACAAAGATGAGAGAAGACCAGATCCGGAGAATACCTAGGCAGTGAAAACTATGCCCAGACCGACGTATGTCCCCACACTACGATCCTTCTTGGGACTAGTCAGCCATTATGGAGCTTTTATTCCAAACCTTCATCAATTACGTGCCCCCTTGAATACCCTTCTGTCGAAGAATGTAAAATGGAATTGGTCTGCAACTTGCCAAGCCGCTTTCGATGAAATCAAGAAAGTACTAGTCTCGGATCTGCTGCTCACACATTACGATCCATCTTTACCCATTGTAGTGGCATCAGACGCGTCAAACTACGGCATTGGAGCAATTATTTCTCACATCATGCCAGATGGATCTGAGAAGGCGATATCACATGCGGCTAGATCGTTAACGTCAGCAGGACGTAACTATAGTCAGATCGAGAAGGAAGCATTGTCGATTATCTTCGCTGTCAAGAAATTTCACAAGATGATATTTGGACGTCAGTTCACCCTATTAACTGACCATAAACCATTACTAGCCATCTTTGGATCGAAGAAAGGTATACCTGTATACACTGCAAACAGACTGCAACGTTGGGGAACTACACTCTTGGGTTATGACTTCAAGATCAAATACCAGCCCATTACTGATTTTGTACAAGCTGACGCTTTATCTAGACTGATTGGCTCACAAGCAAAACAGGAAGAAGACACTTCGGTGGTAGCAACCGAGACGGAAACAGAAGTACATCGAGTATTGGAAGACGCAGTCGATGGTTTACCAGTTACTTTCAAGGCCATCAAAGAAGCCACGGAAAGTGACAAGACTTTAGGAGAGGTTAGTGGTTATCTTCTCACCAAGTGGCCGAACCGTCGTTTTCAAGGAGAAATGCTACAATATTTTCGCCGACGGGACTCACTTATGATGGTCGACTCATGTTGTTATGACCTTGAATGTCTGGTCTTTCTATCACACGACTTTCTACCAATCCGAGTACGGCTTATACGAATCTTCACACTAGGCCAACCAATGACGTTCAACCGGTGTGGGCAGTTTAGCGTCCTTATTAGTCCTATGTCCTCCGAGCCCTTCCACTTGAGTCCAGAACACAATACCAGCTTCCGAATCAGAGCAGATCGTTTATTTCAGACATACCCGGTTTATATATCAATCACGCAGACCGCAACGTACCATAAAATAGGAAATAATATTTGTACACAAATAAGCCCAAAAAGTGGCTGTGAATGTGGGAGGCAGTAGTTAATAGACTGAACATAACTTAAGAACCGTAAATCGTACAATAATAAATTATAGGTCAAAATAAAGCTTATCATAAAATAATATAAATATACATAGTGTAATTGTTGAGTAGTTATACAATAAGAATATTTATAAAATATTAGTCCATGAATAGTCCTCGGAAGTTACCTGTTATTTATTCTTCACCGGATATAACTCATGTATTATGTTTGGTGACAGAATTATTGTTCAAAAAGTATTACGCTACAAGGTTCTGAGACAATTCCACAGCGGTCATCCTGGTATCAATAAGATGAAAGCGCTGGCTCGAAGCTACGCATACTGGCCTACGATGGATCAAGATATTGAAACCAGATGCCGCAATTGTTCATCGTGCCTACAAGCAGCCAAAAGTCCAAGCAAGTGTGAACCGCAACAATGGGAAAAGGCGAATAGTTCCTGGGAGAGGCTGCATGCAGACTTCGCCGGTCCAATACGAGGAAGAATGTATCTAGTCATAGTAGACGCGCTCACAAAACGGCCACAAATCTACGCCATGGTGAATTGCACAGCCAGTGAAACAATCGGCAAGTTATCCGACCTGTTTAGCTGCTTTGGAGTTCCGGAGACTTTAGTGACCGATAACGGCTCACAACTCACTGCAGAATCATTCAAGCACTTCTACAACGTTAATGGGATTGCACACATACGATCTCCACCGTATCACCATCAATCAAATGGCCAGGCAGAGCGCTTCGTTGATACATTGAGAAGAGCACTACTGAAAGGGGGAGGCGAAGGGACGACAGGGCAGGTGATCAGAAAATTTTTGACATCCTACAGATCCACCCCGAACCCGAATGTTCCAGACGGCAAATCCCCTGCGGGAGCCTTGTTCGGAAGGCGTATTCGAACCGTCTTCGATGCCATGTTGCCGTCCAAATTAGTGGATGAGCGCAGTCACGATCCAAGTATCCGGAACTGCAATGTTGGCGACAAAGTTTACATTAAATCCTACATCGGGAAGAACCGATGGGAGCCGGGAGAAGTTGTACAAAGACTGGGAAGAGTTCGAGGAGCTTTTGGGACATGTATACGACACGCAAATCAAATCCTTAAGGACAAAAGAACGGTGCAGACTCGAAGTAACCGGCCGAACTTCCCGTTAGATTTAATCTTAGATGCACCAATGCCACAAATGCCCAGGAACACTGAAAAGAAGCCTTGGACAAGGAAAAGGGCAAGAATAATGGGACGCCGTCGCACCCCAGTCGTCAAACTACAAGTAGATTCCAGAAAGAAATCTTATTCGGGGGAGGTGTTGAGTCGGCTTCCGGAGAACTTCAACGGAGCCTACAGAGGCCCAAAAGGAGCCGAAGGGTCCTAGCCAATCAGAGTATGACGGAACGTTCTGGAATTCCAACGTGGCCTGCTACCATTGGTCGGTAGCATAATATGTCGTTAACGGATTGGCTGAAATATGATGTTGATTTAATAGACGCCAACATCTATAAATACCTATGATTTTCTGTACAAAAATGAACCTTGGGATAAAGTATTTTCTCTCATACTTGTGTCTTCTCTCTGGTGTTCAAGTCGCTGTGTAGTTTTAGACTTCGGGTTACCAGAATAGCTTAGGTAATCGTATATAGCGTTTCATCGACAAGGCGTATCAAGTAGCGACGGGGATGAAAACTACAAAAATATTTCCCTGGAACAATTAGAAGCCTATATGATGCGTCAAGAAAAAAGGTTTAAATAGTTGCAAATTAGAATCACGGAAACTCTGATGCAGAAATTCTGCCTCTCCGAGAGAAACCCTGCTTCTGGTGAATCTCAAGTATCACATACTGATTCAATCATTAACGCCATACATGAATTTAATTTTGATGGTGTAGCAGGTATAACTTTCCAGTCGTGGTTTAAGAAGTATAAAGATTTGTTTTATATTGATCTTTGCAGACTGGATGATCCTTCTGATACGTCTTGTCGATGAAACGCTATATACGATTACCTAAGCTATTCTGGTAACCCGAAGTCTAAAACTACACAGCGACTTGAACACCAGAGAGAAGACACAAGTATGAGAGAAAATACTTTATCCCAAGGTTCATTTTTGTACAGAAAATCATAGGTATTTATAGATGTTGGCGTCTATTAAATCAACATCATATTTCAGCCAATCCGTTAACGACATATTATGCTACCGACCAATGGTAGCAGGCCACGTTGGAATTCCAGAACGTTCCGTCATACTCTGATTGGCTAGGACCCTTCGGCTCCTTTTGGGCCTCTGTAGGCTCCGTTGAAGTTCTCCGGAAGCCGACTCAACAGATTGTTTTTCATAAGGATAGTATTTGAAGTTATCAATTGTCTCTTATTGATATTTTGTCCTGTATATAAATGATTCATTAAATTTTTTTGTTCTGTTTTCTTTCTTTCTTATTTCTATAGGAAAAATTTGTATTGAAATTTCAGTTGTCCTTTATATTAGATAGTGAATCGATTCTAGAATCTGGGAAGTTAGAATTACCATGTGGTTGACATTATTATTATTGCTACTACCACGATCATTACTACTACTACCACCACCACCGCCACCACCACACATTTTCATGCTATTTTTCTTTATTCTCAAGTGAATATTTTAGAGGATAGATGTTCTTCTCGTGATAATGATAATAATATAAATTTTATTATGTAAAAGTATTAGTCGTTTCCCTCTGATTGATGATGGTTTGTTTGACATGTGAAAAAAGAAGATGGATGATACTTCCCTTTGGCAAATTTACATTGAGTCTAGAAAAAAAAAGGAAACAGACAAAAAAAAAGCTTTGTGATACATTTTTTAATACATTTATATGTTAATTTATTAATTGCTTCTTGTAAAGTTTCATAAGTTTTTTCTCATCTTTCACTGTCTTCAATAAAAGGTTTAAGCAGATATTTCTATTTATGCCTTTTCAACTAATATAAATATGCTACTGATTTAAAGTAAGTAGTAAAATGTAATTCAATAAATTTATTTGTAATACTGGTATTCTTGTGAAGTTTCAGATTTTTTGAAGTGTCACTATTGTTTGTTCTCGAAATATTTGTTCACATCTATTGTCACTTTTGTTTGTAAATCATATATGTTCTCTTTTTTTGATGAAATGTGCCGAATTTACTTCAGCTAATTGTCTTTTATTTCGTTTGTTATTATTTACTAATCTCATTCAATGTGTAATTCATTTATTCAAAAATGGTTTTATCATAACAAAAGTTGAATCACTTCACAGACAAAAAGGATTCTCCTTCGGAGTCGAATTATCTATCTTCAGCTATTTTTGACTGTTCAATATGTTTATTCTTTTGAACTCCGTGTTTTCGATTCTTTCAGTATCGACTGTGTTCTATTCTGTTATCTTTTTTTCTTCTTCTATAGTCATGAAAATTTTTCTTTCAGATGATTACTTGAAGCAAACAATAAGATTCTATTGTAATACAATACTAATATGGCTATAACTTATTAATATTCGTTCTTTTTTTTCCATCATTTTTTGATGTAATGTGAACTATGGTGATCTATTTTGTTTGGACGCTGAGTTTAGTTTCAAATATATCCATATATATGTAGGTATTAGGATCTTTTAGGTTTAACTGACACTCTCAGTGTGCTTATTTAATATGAATAACCAATGGATATAACTACTTTATGTTTATAAAATTTTGGTCATTGTGGTGATTTATTTTAAAATTTAGTTTCTAATTGATAAAGTGAAATTAGATCAGAATTTGCAAGTTTGCATGTATTTTGATAAATAAAATCGGTTAGACTATAATTTATGCATGACCTTTGAGTGACACTGAAGTGATCTTGTGAGTATCCACTTAGTAACCACAACCAAATGAGGGTTATAAACTAGTGTAAGAAATTAGAATGATGATTAAGGTGATTAAGGTTAGGAATTAGATTTGAGATTTTGTTGTAACGTGTGGACTGCAGGTTATGATAAGCAGCGTATTTATCGATCGGTTCAGTGACACGTAAAACACGTAAGGACGACCTAGAGTCCCGATTAGTCCCGCTTCCCTGTGTAGCCCAGCCAGTTGAGTCTAGAACGTAAGTCACAGCCTCTGAGTTATGAATCATTATATTTCAGACATACTCTATTTATATACCAAACAAACAAACCACATCGTACCATAAAATAGAAAACAACATTTGTACAATATTTAAGGCGTGAAATAAATAACGGCCAATAGGAAATGTTCATTTAACGTCCAAGGACATTATTAGACTTAACATGATAATGATTGGCACATTATTCTGCATCCATAACAGATTTTCATCACAAACTGACATCAGCTTTAATGTCAAAACTCAATTGATCCAAATGGGTGAATGAATTTCGCGCCAAAATCTAAGACCTGCTATCTTATACGTAATTGGTTCGCAAAATCATTACTTATAGAGTATTCAAAACAGTACAGATACAGTAGTATGGAAACTACTTTAATTGATTGTAAATAACTGATCAAATACAACAATGAGCAAAGTATTTTACCTAAAACTTTCCAATTTCTATTGAGTGAATATGAATATGAGGGGAAACACAATTCAGTATCTTCACTTGGAGATTATAACATGTACTCAATCGACTAAGTATTTAAGTTGATAATTATTTACAGTTTATTTCAATTAGATTATAAGTGTGAGTTGTAAGATTTTTAAAAGACTAGTTGTTTTTTCTTATGTAGGAATTTCTACAATTGTATGTTTATTATTTAACAGACGAACTAATGTTGTGGTATATGCTACTTATGTCAACAGGACATAAGTAGTATGTAACACCAATCACAAGAGGAATACATGGCAGGTAGAAGGCTAAGAAGATGAAGTTGAAGAGAATAAAACGGAATTGCGAATAGGAAGAATCGTACAGGATGTGAAGGATAAATGATGGAAATTAGCAAATGAAGTATTCAATGTATGGGTTCTTATATTTTATCTAGACATTCTGTAATCATATGTCAAAATGCATTGGTTGTCCCCAGCTGTATTCTAGTTCATAACACTTGTCCGGACTGATCATCAACAATCTATCTGTCATCTGATTTCCATTTATATATTGCTTTTAGTCTCGGTTACTTATGCCTGTTACCCCCCAATGGAGCATAGGCCACCGACCAGCATTCTCCAACCCACTCTGTCCCGGACCTTCCTTTCTAGTTCTATCCAATTGTTGTTCATTCTCCACATGCCTGTCTCCATTTCTCGGTGTAATGTGTTTTTTGGTCTCGGTGACAAACGTTTTTTTCTTAACGACTGATCTATTGATCACTTCCAATGCGTTTTTTTAAGTAAAGTACATGCCTCTCAATCTATTTAATGTCGTAGTCCTTTATAACTTTTGATTTAAATATTCTATTTTCCAAATTAAAACTTGAAAGGAAGATTTCATTTGATTTCGTGGAATCGTCCGTCGTATTGAATTAAATCACGTATGAATTGTCAGTTAAATGGAATATAATTCATTTATATTGGAAGAATCATACAGAATTTGATAGACAAATGATAGAATTTTGCAAATAAAGTTTTCCATTGTAGTGGCTTAGCTTCGTTATTATAGAGATCCTAACAGTGTTTGAAATCAGAAGGCAATAATAAGAAGCGCCAACCACAATTGATTAGCGGATAGTACAAATCACAAAGGTATAAGCACATCTAGCGAATTTGAAGTGAAGAGTCGTGTGTGTGTGTATATATATATGTGAGAGCAAATACCGAAGCAAATTTATAGTTAAGTTACATAAGGACACAGCAAAGCAAAACAAAAGGCTAAAATTTGGACTGAAGTACATATATACATTGGATAAGAGAATGAATCATTGAATGATATTTAAGCGGTCAACATTTTGGTTAGAGTCTGTCATGTGATCAAGCGTACACGTTTACACAAAATAGATAGTGATCATAATAGTACAAAAAAATATGCAGTTTGTTACTATTCAACAAATAGCATTGTCTGTTCAGTTAATAAAAGAGCTTAATCAACATTCAACCATGATCGAAATGGGTTGTGCGTTAGTTACTATACAAGTGATTCAATGATTTTATATATTAAAATACATTGATTGTCCGTATTTGTGTTCTCATTCATTACAGTATACGGTATTTAATTAGATTGTACAGCAATGAAATCATATGAATATGACAGACTACATAAAACTTAATTTCACATTAAAATCTCTTATATCATTATGAAATATCAACAACTGTAATGTTTTCCCCTAAATGCCCTGGTACGGCCGAGAGTGGAGAGAGTCCGCTCTCCCTCTCGAAATGCTGTCACACGGCCACGCGTATACAGCCTCTGTCAGGGAAGTCCTACTCACTGCCTTCTCGTGGCGGGGGTATTGTTTACGAAATTGAGAGGACGAAAAGCGAATGTCCGACGATTTAACCGGATCCCAAACCGATGGTGTACGTGGGCTCCAGTATCTTGAAGGAACAAGTGGCGTATGAACCAATCGTTGGTCACCGGCTACCATGTGACTGCATCTTCTCACGATGCTCCACTGTCTCGTGGATCGGACCTTTAGGTCGAATGCTCCGTGTGTGGCTCCCTAAGAAAACCACTTAATTAGGTTTGGGCACCCGGGCAGTATCATAGCCCTCACACAAATCGAATGATTTGTGTGGCGCATATGTATTCGGTGCCTCCTTGTACCAATGTTTATGTGTTTAAATAAATGATAAAATAATAATAGTATTATAATGATACTGTGTGAATTCATTGCAGCTCATTGTTATACTGTAAATGTTTATATTAACAAATTAGATTTTAGGCTGTCTTCCTTAGGATTATGAACCTGTATCACTTAGTTTCATATTGTGACACGTTATCATTGAGCTATTCGAACAGGGTATATCATGTAAGATTGAATTATCTACGGCTAACTAGTTAATGTCACATTTGGATGTTTGACCCTTGATCATTCAGCAGACATATTGAATGTGCTCGATAACTAGAGTAATATCCAATGAGTCAATTCAAGTTAGACCACCTTGGAAGCAGTGGGCAGCCATTTCGTTTATTTTTATTTTAATTTTAAAGCATAGATACTGGTATAAGGAGGCAACAAATACATATACACCATACAGATCTCATTTGATATGTGTGAGGGCTGTGATACTGTTCGGGTGCCCAAACCGGAGTAGGTCGTTTTCTTAGAGGGCCACACACGGAGCATTCGACCTTAAGGTCTGAGTCACAGGGTAGTGGAGCATCGTAAAGAGATTCAGTCACATGGTAGACGGTGACCAACGATTGGTTCATGCTCCATTTGTTCCCTCAGGATACTGGAGCCCATGTGCACCATTGGTTTGTGATCCGGTTAAAGCGCCGGACATTCAGTACTGAAGAGTCCCATATTAAGACGAAATGGTCGCCCAGTGCTTTCAGCCTTTTCAGGGTGTTCTAGCTTAAATCAACTGATGAATTCAACTATTAAAATATTTCCTCTGTTCCATTTTTCTTTTTTCTTTTGAAAAAAAT